TGTAAAATGGTGCAGATTTTTGGAAACAATCTGGTAGCTCCTCAAAAGGAGTTACCATACATGACCAGGTTCATCTCTAAGCATAAATGTAGAGAAATGAAAACAGTCATATGCATACAAATGTTCCTCTCAATATTATACATAATAGACAGAAGTGGAAGCATCTCAAATATCCAACAATTGACAATGAATGAAATGAGTTTTATGAGTTTTATCTACAAAATAGAAAGCTATGAGTAACAAAATCAAATAGAGTATGAATAAATGCACACACACACACACACACACACACACACACACACACACTCACACTTTAAAAGCAGAACTTACTATGTAGCCTTGGCCAGCCTGGAACTCTCTGCGTAGATCTGGGTGACACTGCATTTATTCCCTGCCTCGGTCCTCTGGTGCTGTAAGTAAAGCTCTGCAACACCAACCCAGCTGTTTTTGTCTTTTGAGATAAGATTTTGCACTTGAACTAGCCATCTTCCTGCCTCAGCCTTCTGAGTGATGGGATTATAGGTATAAACTATCATGCCAGACCCAAAAGTACCTTCTTGAAATGATAAATAATCCTAGTTATGGTGATGCTTACACCATCTAAATATCCATAAAAATCCAGTAAGTTAGATACCTTAAATGAGGGAACATATTATGAATTATATCTCAAGCTGTATTTTTAAAAATACTGTGTAATCATACCAAAGGGTACTTGAACAACATTTACCAACTAATAACTCATTAGTTCATTTGTGAATATAGCTCTGCCTCTAAAAGGCCATGCATATGAGGCCCCAGCCTTACACAGCCTACTTGCTTAGTCTCTGCCAAATGTGACTCCATTTAATGTCATTTGTCTCTATAGCAACCAACTAGAAAAAGCTGCTTTGTTTAGCAGTGACTTTGTACAAGCATTGGTCTAGCCTAGAGGTGTTTTAAAGATCTGAGTCCTCTATTCATCACTTCCCATCCCTGACCCATGAGGTAAACAGGAAAACCTGTGATGAGTGCAAGAGACAAAGAAATTAAAGAAAAATTAAAGAAGGCATGTTGCAAGGAAGACTGAATTGAAGGGGTTAGAAAGACCCAATTTAAAAGAGGAGGAGGACAGAATGGTTAAGAAATTGGGATGGCAGAATAATTTTTTAGCAACAATAAGACAGATTTTAACACATAATACTGCTGCTTCGGAAAGCAGGTGCTTTCATTTATAACCATCTAATGGATATTTCACAGTAGTTCAGCTACAAATAGGTATCCGATGCACATTTAACACATTTTTAACAGAGTGGTGGACAGCGATGAATAACAAACTGTAAAACCTTTAGGAATACTATGGAACAGACAATGAGAAAAGGTACACTGTATGTAGCACATGGAAACCTTAGGAGATTCAAAGGGCTGCTGAGATGGCTCATTGAGCAAAGGGCTGGCCAGGCAAGCCTGACCACTGAAACTGACCCCAGAACCCAGGTTGGAAGGGGAGAGCCCACAATGGTTGTCCTTCCATACATGTGTGATGCTGTGTCCGTCCTCTCCTCTCTCCTCCCCCCCCCTTAAAAAACAAAAGATAATTAGCTATAAGCCAAACCAAAGAAAAAGCAGGGGGTGGGATTCCTAATTTGGCACCAACTCTAAGACATGTAAGGGTGCAGGGTGGATGTGCGGTGTTATCCTCCCCCACGTTCAGAGCGGTCCCTTCAAAACAGGTTGTCAGCCCTCCTCCCTGGGGCGGTTCTCTCAGTAGGGTCACACCCCATCTCCAGCACCTGCCTTGACCATTTACAGTCACTTTTGTCTTTAGGGATTCCTTAGTGAAGTCATTAACACAGTGCTGGCCAGCCTACCCCCTCTCCCCCAGGAAACTCTATCCCTCTAGTTTTCCACACATTAACAATACTTTAAATTTTACCTGATGTGGTGAAGACAGAGAGTTTATGTCATCCGTCCCTAAGTAGTAGCCCTTAATTGCTACCCTGAATAGTAGTTCCTTGCCCTCCTAGCCATTCTAGGGTACTGGGTTGCTCAAAATGTATGACACTTAACATTCTTTACAAAGAATAAAGAAAATTTATTTCGCTCATTTTAATGTCACTGGTTGAGAAGGAACGTAGATCTTTCTCTTTTAGTCATAAGTTTTGATCACATAAGCTACCTTTGCTACGAGACCATAAGGTCTTTATAGCTTTATGGTAGAGCCTTGCACTGAAATTTAACACGATAAATGCTCTCTGTATGTATGCAATAAATGAAAATCACTGAGATTTTGGTTAGAAAACCCCAGCAATCTGCACATTCTAGTTTTACAGGGAAACAATGCTTAGAACAGTCCCTAACTTGTCACTCTGCTACTGTAAAAGAGGCCTTTACGCTAATGAGGATCAGAGTTCAGTATACTTGGCCTGTATTTGCCTACCACGTGGGAGAATCTGGGTTCAATCCCCAGCGCTGCAAACAACAGAAACAAGCCAACAAACAAAAAGGTAACCCATGCGAGTTTTGCTTTTAAAGACGGGATTAATAATACCAATAACCTTCAAAGGCAACACGTGATTGTGCAAGATAAAACGAGAAAAGGGCGACAAAAGCAAGGTTAGGAGTATTCAAGATGGCTTCTCCATACGGCAGTCTGGTGACACGAGCTCCGCCCCAGAACCTTCATGTAGGTTGGAGAGAGCCTTCTCTACACAAAGCTGTGCTCTGATCTCCATTCATGTTTCCCCCAACACCCTGATAATACATGTGGGCAGGGTTAGAGACAGAATTTCTCTGCAGCTTTGGCTGCCTTGGAATTCGTTTTATAGATCTGTCTCTACCTCCTAAGTGTTGGGATTAAAGGCAGTGCCACCATCTCCAGGCCCTATAATACACTTTTTAAAAGTTACTTTGCCATTTCTATTTTACCTTTGCAGTAGGCAGGACTCGATTTCATTCTCAGTTCCAAGAAAATTTCATTCAGCACATTTTAATTCTATTGAATTTAACTTGATTTTTCACTGGTCTCTATGTAACCTCAATTTAACTAAATGTTTTAGTCTTAGAAGCCCTTTGTAGAGTTTTGGATCCATGGAAACGCTGCTTATCTATTCAAATGTCAAGGTACATGTTCAACAATAGGTTCTTCCATTGAAGAATGGTTACGCACACCCTGATTCCACAGCATCTTCCGTGTTGCATTTCCTGGCTCACAAACTACTTGATAACTGATAAATATCGGGACTAAACATGCTTAAATACTCAAGCAACCTTCATTCACCATCAGAAAAAAATGTTTCGTAGTTTCACTATTTTTTTAGGGCTATCATAACAAAATACTGGCGGCTAGACCTTCCAAGACTCACAGCTTTTGTTTGTTTCTTCAGAGGCTTTGGTTTGTTGTTTTTCATAGCTTGTGAATGCTATCTTCTCATTCTTTTGCTCACAAGGCCTTTATGCATATGTATTGTGTGTTTGTGTATTACTTATGAGCATGATATACTGCCTCTACCACCACCGTGTGACTTTTACTCTGATGCATAGAAACAACTGTGATTAAACTGGTAGGCACCCCCCCCTTTTTTTTCCCCCAAGACAGGGTTTCCCAGTGTAGCTCTGTAGCCTCTCTTGGATCTCACTCTGTAGACCAGGCTGGCTGGAACTCACAGAGATTCCCTGGCCTCTTCCTCCCCAGTGCTGGGATTAAAGACATTCGCCATCATAGGCCCTGGGGACTGCTCAGTCTGACAATATGAGTGGTTCTCTCCCCCACTTTCGTTTCCTTCAACTAAGAGGATGGGCCTGTTCCACAATAACTTTAAAAGGCAAAGGTTTCTCATCATTAGCGACCTACCTACGTCCGAAAATGTCTACAAGATGACTAACCAAAATTTTGCAAATTGCAGATTAACACTAAGAAACAATTTTCAATCTGAATTTTATTTAATAACATTTAGTAGTTTAATTCCAAGGGGGGGCACAATAGTTTAAGAGTAACACCTCAACTTAGCAAAAGGAAAGTTAATTTTCACAAAGGTGTTAACAGCTTCCGTTTCCCTGCCCACCATAGTAGCTAAGTAGCATAAACAAGCACCATTTCCTCAATTAGGCCTTGAAATGCTTTCACAGGCATTACAGTCACAGAAGGGCTCCTCAGAATGTGTAATGCTATTTTTAATGTATGGACAGTTGGTATAAATTTCTTGAAGATCAAATATCATAGTATACTTAGTTTTCTCCTTTCTCAAACGCTATTGTAATAAATTTGTTGTCCTTTGGTCTCCAGACACTTCCCTTCTCTTGACTTCTAACTTCTTGCTCTGCTGCCCCAAAGAGCAGAAATAAGACTTTTAACTGATTGCATCTTTTCCTTTTTTCTCCCCTTTCATTCTATCTCTTTTCAGTCTGAAATGGGAAGAAATGCAAGGTGCAGCCAAAGATCGTATATTTAGATTTTTTTCCCCGGACTCTCGTGTGTGTGTGTTTGTGTGTGTGTGTAATTCCCCCGCCCTCATTTTCTATTGCCAAAACGCCGGGAAGTGGCCAAGAACTTGACTTCCAAAATGGCTTGCTCCTTTCGAACTGCCACGGGTCTATGAGATGCAATTTATTTCCATTGCAACCGGCCCTTCTTCCTACTCCCTACCATCACAGGAAACAGACAGCTGGGCCCGACGAGTGCAGAAAATCCCATCTTCTCCGCTACATACAGCAGAGCCCGCAAAAGCCGCCTCACTGACGGACAAACGTTAAAGACGGGGGTGGGGGAGGGGGGTTGATACCCGAAAACGCAAAGGCCCACGCTCCGCACGTGAGGGGCCGGCTCGCGCCCTCCCGCCACGGCCGCCGGCCCCGCCCCCTCGCGGGCCCCGCCCCCTCCGTCCCGCCGCGGCCACGCCCGACGTGAGGCGCGGGCCCGGCGGGCGGGGGCGGGGCCTGCGCCGCCCCTCCCCCCCGGCGCCGGCGGCGGCCTCCGCGCGGGCCTCCCAGCCCCTATTCCACTCACTTTGTTCTGCGCCTTTGTCCTGGTCCACACCAGCAGGTGGAGCCGCAGTGAAAGTTTCCCGTCCGTTCCGCGAGCGGGAGCCCATCTTGCTCGCCGCCACGGCCCTCGCTGGAGGAGGAGGGTCAGAGCTCGGGGGCAGCCAATCGCGCGCAACGCTGCTAGTTATCAGGGCAGAATGGGCTGTAGTTTAGTGGAATAGGAAAGCTGCAAAACACTGTGGAGTGCTGCGGTGTAAATAAAAAGGAAAAAAAAAGTTTCTCAAGTCGCCGCTGCACGACGTCGGGCCGCGCCGCGCCGGGGCGGGGGTCTGCGCTCTCCGAGCGGCCGCGCGCGGGACTCTGTGGTGCCGCCAGCCCCGGCCCCATTGTTTGTGTTTTCTTCAAAATATGGCAAAGGTTCAGGTGAACAATGTAGTGGTGCTGGATAACCCGTCGCCTTTCTACAACCCGTTCCAGTTCGAGATCACCTTCGAGTGCATCGAGGACCTGTCTGAAGGTGAGTGGCGCCGGGCTGTCAGTTGTGGCGGCGGACGTTAAAGTTTCCCGGCCCGGCCTCGCGCGGGGTGGGCCGCGGGCGGCGGGAGGGCGGCGGGCGGGCGGCCATGCGAGGGAAACTTGAAGTTGAGGGACGCCGGCCGCGCCGCAACTTGCGAGCAACTTACCGGGCGGAGGGAGCCATGTTGTCAGCTTTGTCTGCGGCGGGCGGCGCTGGGCGGCCCCGGCTCGCGAGGCGCCGGCGGGGGTCGTGCGGCCTCGGCGGCCCCAGGGCCCCGCGGCCCGGCGGGGAGCGGAGCCATCTTACCCGGCGGCACGACGCCTGCTCCGGGCCGCCAGGGGCGAGCGGGCCCGCGCCTTCCCGCCCGAGCCCCTCCGGGGCTGTCCTCGCGCCGTTCTCCGGCTCCCTCCACCAACCAGCGGCGGAAGGCGGGCGCTGACTCCGTCCCTCCGCGCCTGGCTCCCGGGGACCGCCGTCCTCCCCGGGGTGCTCCCTGCGGACGCCCGGGATGCTGCGCGCAGGCTCCCCAGCAGTGTGGACGCCTCTCCAGGAGGACGGAAATCTCTCTGAAACAGTCAGTGCCGGGCTAGGAAGTTCCATCCTGCTCAAGAACCAAAGCTGGGCGCTTCAACAGTTCCCGGTACTGGCTTCTAAAAAGTCTCAAAGACTTTCCCCAGAACGTACGAAGATGCAATTAAAATAACTCCACGTCCTGGAGGATTAGGGAAAATACGGACGTTGGCTAGGAGATAAACGCCTTTTCCGAAGTACGTTTTGCGGTTTAAAAAAATGCGAAACAGTGAAGAGATACAGAATTTAGAAAGCTAAAATGAGGGTTTATCATCAGTTTTCTTAGGTTTTTATTAAAACCAGTGCTTCATTTTCAAAACTTGAAACAAAAAGTTTAACTTCATTAGTGTTAATTTAAGTTAGTTAGGAGGACATCTTGGGACCTGGAAGTACTTCGTAAAAAATGCCTTTAAGAGTATTATACTAATCATGCCGGAAAGAATTTCTTTTCATTTAAGTTTTTAATCTCTACAGTGAACTTTATGTAGGATGTTAACTTTAATTATAAAAACCAATATATGCCCGTTGCAATAAACTTTTAGAGTTGTAAAAAGGAAGTCATAGGTCTTTCACCCACTCTTTTAGCTAACCACACCATGACTTTAAAATGTACCCCTCTGTTGTTTTTAAATCTATACAAAGTATAAATGCACATACATTTAATATGTGGGAAATATTTTGAAGAATGACTCATAATTACAATACAGTAATCACGATTAGGCTGTGGTGATGTAAGGTTAAGAATGTTTTGCTTAAAACTCCATTTATTACTGCCCGATAGTATTAGTAAAAAGCATTTCCACACCAGACCCATTTCCAAACCCAACATTGGTTTTTCTTTTTAACTGCCAATTTATATATAAATATTAAAGAAAAGAGCATGGGTGAGTCCATTCTAACGCAGTAGTAGTGTTCTAGGCATTAGAAGTTCAGGTATTTTTCAAGCAATGGCTTCCATTTTAGGATTCAACTTTGTGCAAGGAAGACATGATCTAGGGTATTGTTACAGGGTCACTCCATTGGATAGTTCGAAACCAGCCATCCACAGAAACCAAGTGAGGTTCTGTTTTAAACTGGGATCCTTTTACAGCAATGGTATCACTTATGTCAAGAATACACCTACTCTAGTACACTTCAAAACCAGGGCACCATTATTTTAGGATGTTTTAAGCTGAGTCATTCCAAAGCTGCAAAGGAATCTTTCAAAAAGGTACCATTCCTGTGTACTCCATCTAGAGGCTGTGTGGAGTAAGGAAATGGAGTTGACTTATTTTGCAAAAGCTCTAGTCTAGGTTCCATACTTTTGTTGTTGTACTGTGATTTCTTTTTTAAGTTCTTGAAATCAAACTACAAAATCCTTCGAAGGGAATTTTGAGTTTATGATTTGTGTCTACCCCAACCTACAGATTAGCCACCGTTTGTCATGCTCATCAATCATCTTGCACTATTTCAGTTTTCCTTTAGAAGCTGCCCTGTAGCCTTGCTTCAGAAGAAGCCTTGAGTAGTATTTGCTCTAAGGATGAAGTGGTTATTTCGTCTGTCTTAAACGGGATGGAAAGGCCAGTGAGATAGATGGTGCAGCCAGTAAAGCCGCTAGCTACCCGCCTGACTACCAGAGGTCTTCAGTCACCAAAATCCACATGGCAGAGTGAGCAACTGACTCATCCAGTTGTCCTCCACAGCGGTACCCATATACATACAGAAACACAATAAATGCTCGAAAAACTTTTAAGGGATTTAAGTAGGGGCTTTATTATGCCCCATCGATATGCCTGTACAAGTTTGATTGGCCTGCCTATAATTTCTAGGGTTTAATATTTGCAGTGCACCAAAACTGATCCTGTGGATTTATATTTTGAAAGTTCGGGCCTATTCTGATTGCAAAGGCTTTATACTTTCTCCTAGACTACTGATTCCCAACAGTGTAATTAACTTAAAATTTCCTTGGTAACACCCCTCCCATCACACGTGGAGCTGCTGTCTGTCTGGGAGTACCATGATTAAATGGAAAAGTTAACTTTTTAAATAAGTGAGTAAATTCCAGCTAGTAACTTGTAGTGCCACAGGCCTTATCCTTAACTTCCTAAAATACAGAAAGGAAAACTGGCTTTATAAGCAAACTAATAAATAAGTATTCGGTGTATGCCCCTTCTTGAGTTACTGCTTGTGCTTACTAAGGCTGGATTATGTAGCTCTCCACTGCTAGTCTTAACCCACTGTCTGTGTTCTTTAATTCCATTATTTCACAGCTAGAAAGGCAGGATTTACCCAGTTACTTGTATTTATTTTAAAGCCAAGGCTTTTGAGTACCAGCAACCCAACTTAAATTCTCATTCTGATCTGTAAGCTGCATGAATTTTAGTAGATTACTTAAATTTTCATATACCTCTAAGTTTCTTCATTTGGCTTTTGGATCACTTCCCTCATTGGCCACTAGCTCCTAATACTTTAATTGATTCTTCATCTTCGTGACCTGTCAACTTTGGAGGGTCTACAGACTCAGTCCTGAGGAATCCCATTCTTTTCCTTGTCTTTATGTATTATTGCCTATTTTCTATTTTTTAAGATCTGACCTATGTTGTATCCACAATGAAACATCTAATAGACATTTCAAACATGTTTAAAACTAACTCCTGATTATTTTCTCCTTTATACCCGAAAGGAAAAAGGAAGTGGAGTAGCCACTTCCATCTCCAGACGTTACCTGGGATGTAGTGTTTTACACCACCCTCAAGGCCACCATAGGGAACCACACCACCGTAGTTTCCATCCTCAGTTGTTGAGGCAGTCTCTTTTTCCTTGCCCTCATCCGGTCTATACAAGGCACAGCAGTTAAAATGACCCTTTAAGATGAAAAGGTGGATGGATCCCTGTAGAATCTCTGCTCAAAACCTTTAGGGACTAGGACTGTAGCTCTGGTAAAGTGGGTACCTAGAATTTGGAAAGCTCTGGGTTTGATCTCCAGTACAACAAGAAAACTTGTGGTTTTCCATGTCACTCATTGTAGTAACCCATGACATAATGGGTCCTCAAAAACTGTTGAATTTTAAAACATTACAAATAATAAGGCGTTGAAATTTTAAGTTTCAGTTTACAATATAGTATGAATACAAAGAAATACCATAGTCCTACAAATTTAGGGAATAACTACATAATTCCACCAAAAAAGGCTTTGTTGACATTCCCCAGTGTGAACCAGGGAAGCAAAGCTGGGGGGGGGGTACTTAGTATAGTCTCACTGTAACGAAGCCACGCACAGACCACACATGTTCAACACCATAGGAGATTATCTGTCATCTTCACCCATGTTTAAAGAACAGATTCTTCAGAAAGAATGGATTTACTCCTCTCTGTTCTCCATTGACTTTTCTAAAATGGTGCTTAATGAAATCTAGATTGAATCACAAGACAAGTCTTAGGTTGTACTTGAGTGTATCATGTCCCTGCTGTGTGAGGAGGTGTAAGGACCTTGGTTTCTTCTTGTGGTTTTAAGAATGTATGGCAGAAAGGAGTAACAGGAGGAAACAGCCCCACTGTATCCTTTAGCTACAGTTGGTATAGTGGTACTATGTATCAGTGGTAACTACAAGTTAGTATAAACCGTCAGTTATTTTGGCCAGCAAGAGTGAGGAGATAACAGCCTGACAAATTTACACAGATGATGAAGCCCCTTACTTTTGAATCACAAGGAAGGTTTGCTGACAATTTCCTACTCTGGGTTCTGTGCTGATTTCCCTTTCACGGGGCAGCCTTTCTTCAGTGGTGAGAGAAGCCTGGGAGATTGCACAGTAAACCACCTGGGCAATGGGATTAGTGTTCCAGGTGTTCTTTACCAAAGGAGTTCTCTGGGTATTATGCCGTTTACCTTATGAGTACTTAGGGAAATTTAGTATTTCCCTGGGTTTTGTTCATGTTTTATTTGGGAGTAGCCCTCTCCAGTGACCAGTGCTTAATGAAAGAGAATTTGGAGATGTTATTGAAATGAAACAAGAATTCTGGTAAGAAATTTATAAGCAACATTTCTATATCTTTCTAGATGAGGACTTTATCATTTGTTAATATAATTGCTATTGATTAATAAAATAATGCTTTTGGTTTTTAACCCTAGACTTGGAGTGGAAAATTATCTATGTGGGCTCTGCCGAAAGTGAAGAATATGATCAAGTTTTAGACTCTGTTTTAGTAGGCCCCGTTCCTGCAGGAAGGCATATGTTTGTTTTTCAGGTAAGATTACTCTTAAAATGTATATGCCAGATATGTTTCTTGTGGTGATATTTTGTTTATGATCTAACAAATAAAGCTTGCCTGAAGACCAGATGAACAAAGAGGCCAGCCACTAGAGAATTCTCACTTCTACCAATGCTCAGACTAAAGGGGCGATTGTGTCCTCTGATTACATATCCAGACTGCACTGCTCCTCAGACTGCTCAATGAGCTCTTGTCTTTATATTCTTCTCTAGTGCTGGGATTAAAGTCGTGGGATCCCAAGTGCTGAGATCACCTTTGTGTGAGCTCTGTTTCTCTTTTAGATAGGTTCAATCTCGTGTAGCCCAGGGTAGCCTTGAACTCACAGAGATCCCTCTGCCTCTGCTGGCATTAAAGGTGTGTGCCACCACTGCCTGGCCTCTATGGGTAACTAGTGTGGTTAGCTTCGTGCAAACTTTGTTAGATCATGAATAAAAACATCACTACAGTTTCTAATAGACTAAATGATCTCAGCACACTTGATCCATTTTGTTTTAAGTAATTTTACTTATCTACTCCAATTTTTAGTCTGTTCTGTTGTTTCAGGCAGTGTCTGTCATAAAAGAAGTTCTGTACTTGAGTTTATGTGCAGAGATGTTAATGTCTTTACTGTTGGTAACTAGACAGACCACAGTACACCTTAAATTGTATCATGGCTCACAAGACTGACTTGGGTTTTATCCTGTGGAACAGTTCTTCAAGACGAAAGTATCCCCAAATGTGTATTCAGACGGTATACTGGTTAGTAATATGTGTCTGCTGATGTAATTTCAACAACCTCATTTTGACATAGTAACTGCAAGGCTAAGAAATGTTAGCAGATGGAGGTGTGTGACTTGAGCTATTGGGATTAAAGGCTGGCACTTCACTGAAGCTGCTTATCTAGGTTTTCATAGAGGACCACTGTGACATGTCTATTACCCATTAGAACTTGAGAGTAGGAATTCTGTGAGTATAAATCATGTTCTTAGATACCTCTGACATTATTTAAGTCTGTGCCTAAGCTTGAGACATTATCTTCTGTATAACTGTTATTTCTCTTACTTTATATTAAATTGCTATATTAAACTAGTGACTTTTTTCAATTATCCATGCTTCTTAGAGGGAGCTATTTATAATACTGCAAGGAGTAATGAGCTAGCTTTTAAATAACTATTAATTTCTGTTAGAAGTATTTCTGCCTAACCAACCAAGTCTCACTGCAGGCAGAATCCAGGAGAAAAATTGACTTCCTATCCCTGACCTCTATTTCTCACTTCAGTTTCAGTGAATACTCACATTGAAGGAATCCATTAGAAATGGGCGAGGAGTTGCTTACGAGCACACTGTAGAGAAGCTGCCTCTTAGATACAGAACTGAGGAGATGGGACTGAGGGTTTGCTGTTAGCAAACCAAATAATTTAGTGTATATAAACATGGCAAAGAAAGGCTCAACTACAGTAATCTAAAGGCTGTAATACTTTAATTAAAATAGAAAGAGAGAGAGAGTAACCTTGTGAAAGCTGTAGGAACACAGAGTGCCTAAGGAAGCATTGCAGTCTCAGGCATGCCTGATCCTTCTGCTTACAAAGACATGTGACCCCACTAATGAACCACCTCATAATGTTAGAAGGAATAAGGCAATTAGCAAATTACTGACAAAACTAGCTGTATCTGTAATTAATTAAGACTATTATTTTATTCTCAGTATATAAAGAGGCAGAATTTGTTTGGACCCATAAGCCTGGGGACTACATACTGTACTGATAAGTCACGATGTAGTACGATGTAGTAAAAGAAGCTCGCCTTAATGTATAGTCACATATACCCTTTGTATCGCTGATTTTGGAGTGAGCCTCTGGGAATCTGTGTGTGTATATGTTAGGAATACCTCTAAGCTTTTGGCTTGCTATGGTGGTGCTGTGAGGAAAATCTCATAGCAGTATGTAGCTTTTGTTGGTATCAGTGTAAATGTTGCCAGAAAGAACAGAGAAAGCACTATGATTTAGGTCATGTGTTAGCCTATGCAACTTACAGAGTCTGACAATTATTAACAAAAAGAAACTAAGGCATACTTTTTGTTTTGTGTTATGAGAAAACTGTCCTATTTTCCTGGTCTGCTGTTTTCTTATGAGTGGGTCTAAGACTCGCAGGGAGATATGCAGACATCTGCCCGGTATTGAGGTTTGGGTAAACAAAGGTGATCCCCATCACTTTTCCATCCTTAATGATCTGAGAGGTATACACATTTCTTGACCCAAATTTGCTCAAGGTGAATCCTCTGGCAACCATGTTTTTAAACAGACACAGCTACAACTAATTTGCTGAGTGGTAGGCACATTACTGAGCTCTTTCCCATAATCACTTTGGATACCCTGAAAGTAACCCCAGAATGCATAAAATTGTAGGACAAAGGGTATAATCTACTGGAGAGGGTCTCTGTCCCTACCTACCCCCACCTTTGGTGTCTGTCCAAAGGGATCATAAACCCTATCAGGACAGGAACTGAGTAATGAGAAAACTCTAAAATAATAAATTCTTATAGATGCATTTAGGTTGTTAAGACATAGATTAGGAGATTTGTGTCAAGTAACAAAGACATAAAAAGGGGACGCTGCTACATTCTGTATCAGAAAGAACTTTACTTGGAAAATAGGTTTGATGAAAATATCAAGAGATACATCTAGGAGGCTGTGGCGAAGGAACTTTATAGCCAAGGGTACTGTTTGAGGCAGTGGCATGAAAGGTTTCCAGCACATCGCACAGAATTTGTGTTATTCATACACACACAGGTGAGGTTACAAAGTGTGAAGAGCCTTATAAATGAAATTGAAGATGTTTGTTTCCTAGAGAAGGAACTAAAGCATCTAAGGAGTAGAAAGAGTTCCATGTTTAAATGGCAGCAATATAAGTCATAAACAAGCTAGAACTGAGGCAACTTAGAAAGCTTAGAAGTATTTTGCATAAGAGACAAAGACTAACACCCAGGCTTTAGAAATGAGAGTGACAAGGTAATAGAGTAAGAGAAGCTGAAAGTGACTGAGACTTTTAGTCTCCATGAATTTTTATGGTCTTTAGTGTTGTCTACATGATATGTATAAAACAGTCTTTTGTTTTCTTGACACAGGGTTTTTCTGTGTAGCCTTGATTGTCCAGGAACTCGCTCTGTAGACCAGGCTGGTCTCAGACTCACAGAGATCCACCTGCCTCTGCCTCACAAGTGCTGGTATTAAAGGCATGCACCACCACTGCTGGGCTATATAATTAACAGTTTTAAGCTTTCAAGTTAACATATCTACAGAGGTGAAGTGTTTGTATGCAAAGGATGTTATGCTAGAGTTTCGTTTGTTTATCACACAGAATGGCTGCTTCAGGCTGTACTTAGATGCCTCAACACCACTATGTCTTATTAGTTTATGGTTCTTCTCCATTGAGTCAGTCTCTGCCATCTTGCTCATTACTGTGAACATGGCTCCAGCCTTTTCTGGTATCTTTAGTTACTTCTAGTTCTTTTGTTTAATCATGATTCAAAATGTCTTTGCCTGCACTGAATTTCCAATGTGGCTCAAGCAGTGCGCTATATGCAGTGTCCAACCAAGTGACTACTTACAATATGCTTTGCTCTATGGTTTTGAAGACCCAGTGTGAGTTTTATTCACTATTTATGTTTACTGCTTACTTAGTTGTTCTGGGGATTAAACTGAATTGTCAGTTTTATATAGTTTACTACTGAAGTATTTGCAAAAGGTGTCTGACTAGATCTAAAGAACCTGACTATGTCTGATAGAAGATGAAAACTGATAGGATAAACATTTATTGGAATAAATTCTGTGAAACTAACTTGATACATAGTAACTTGGGACTGAAAATTAGGACTGCAAAAGGTTAGGATCATTAATTACAATGATTGATTTGACTATAAACAATGGAATTTATAATGTATTATGTAATTAATCATCATATAGTAAAGCCAGAATTATTTCCTTCTAGCACTCAGAGGAGGCAGATGGAAAGAATTGCATAAATTTGTGGCCAGCTTGGGTTGAACAGTGAGTAACAGGCCAGCCAGGGCCATATAGCAGGACTCTGCTTCTAAAAGCCAAAAATAAATTAATTAATTAAAAAATTTCCCCCACTAATGTGATTTCAAGTAGTGCTAAAGTAATTGAAACTCACTCACTGTACCTGCACTAACAGACTGCTTTGTGTTTCTTTTTAAATTATTCTAGGCTGATGCACCGAATCCAGGACTCATTCCTGATGCAGATGCAGTGGGGGTAACAGTTGTGCTAATTACTTGCACCTATCGAGGTCAAGAATTTATTAGAGTTGGCTACTATGTAAATAATGAATATACTGAAACAGAATTAAGGGAAAATCCACCAGTAAAACCAGATTTTTCTAAGGTAATTTTCTTACTATTCCTTTTATTTGGTTGGTTTTTCAATTTGGTGTTTGTTTCTCTGTAGCTTTGGAGCCTATCCTGGAACTTGCTGTGCAAGCCAGGCTGGCTTCGAACTCAGAGATCCACTTTCCTCTGCCTCCCAAGTGCTGGGATTAAAAGTGTATATCAGCACTGCCTGGCCCATACTATTTATTCCTTTTTAATTACGTGTACTATCCAGTTTTTAGAGGGTTGCTATTTCATTCTACAACGTGGCCTTAAAGAAATCTGAAGTTTTGTAGTGCTTGAACAAACTAATTGTTGTTCCATTTGCACGGAAGGCCTCAATCCTGTCTCTCCAGGAATTAGTGTTAGGTGGGTACCTTGAGTTAAATGGTCTAGCTTCTTGCAAAGAGCAGGCCTTCATTGCCATTAGGTCTTTTATTTCAACCTTGAGGACATGTAATGTCTATTTTTGTAGTGAAGTGATTATGAAAATATTTTTTCCTAAAGTCACAGCAAGATTAATGTGTTTTTTTGTCCATTTCTTTTGTGATGGTTTTGAGACAGGGTCTTTCTTCTGCTGTAACCCAAAGTGGCCTTGAACTTGACTATGGCATTCTTCATTCCTCAGTTGTCCAGGCTTTAGGATTACAGTTGTCAGCATGCCCAGTGTGTGCTTATTTCTAATAATATTCAGAATATCTGCATATGTTATTCTATCTGCTATTCTTAGAGGTTAAACTAAAGGTATTAAGTATTTCTGATGATTATAACTTAAATTCTGAGACATCAAAATCTGATTCAGTCATCTTAAAAATACTTAGTATCTTGGATTTTACCAGTCTTAGTTACTGGTGATTTTTTTACTCTATATGGTACCCTATGTGACAGCCTTGCCACAGACTAGAGACTTCTCCTTTCTGCTGGTGCGGGTGGGATGTCTTCCACAATTTAGAGACATCCTGTTGAGCAAGGATTAGTAGAACCTTCGTATACCAGTAAACAAAACAAAATGAAAAAACTAGAATACTGTTTCTAAAAATGATTTTTAATACATTACAGTTAATATCCCACTAATTAGAGGTTCTATGAGGAAAAATTTCAAATCTTGTTTTTGTTTTAATTTCTTGGTGCTTATTTGAACCTAGGGACTTAGGCAGAGTACTTCCTTTGCACTGAGCTATGTTCCTAAGCCTGAAAACACATTAGGCTAAAGACATGCTTATTTAACTAAAACTATCGTTTAAAGGGTGTGCAGAAGTGCCTCCCCCCTTTAGGAAGCACCAGTATGAAAGCAAGGTACTTTGTGTGTGGGTGGAAGATCTAGATGGATTTTTTTTCCTTACAAATAGTGCTTTTGCTATTTGCTATTGTAGTCCTTGCTTATTAGTTAGGTTTAAGTGCTTCACTTGCTGATACCTTTGCATATGAATTTAGTTCTTTAAAAGGACTACCAGAGCCACTCAGTTTGCATATGGTACTCTTACTTTCCTGGTGCTCATCATTTAAATGTTTCTTTTCTAGCTTCAAAGAAATATTTTGGCATCTAATCCCAGAGTCACAAGATTCCACATTAACTGGGAAGATAACACAGAAAAACTGGAAGATGCAGAGAGCAGTAACCCAAATCTACAGTCCCTTCTTTCAACAGATGCATTACCTTCAGCATCAAAGGGATGGTCCACGTCAGAAAACTCACTGAACGTCATGTTAGAATCCCACATGGACTGCATGTGACCGGGTGCCATCCGAGTAGTACAGTTTAAGCTATTAAAAACAGAACTATTTCCCTGAAGTTCCGTAAGTACATAGTCAAGGTGAAATGTGAAGAATTTGTTTAAAAACATCCTGTAGAAAGTTTATAAGAAAACCAGTATTTGAGCAAATTGTGGAATATAAATACAACTATTTTTAAGTACTTTTTTTCTCTAATGTGTTATTTTATTTGTTCATGAAACTAATCTGGTTAAAGTATATATATATATATTATTTTCTTCTCCTTTATATGTAATTAAAGCACTTATAAAAAGAAAACTTATCAATTATTAATTAGACCAGGTTGTAAAGGTGTTGTAGCCTCTTGGACAATAATACTTTTTACTAGCCTTTAAAAGAACAAAGTTTACTTCAACTAAAATGAGTCTTCCTGTGAAGACAGTGTCCTTTTAATTTAAGGAGCAAACTTCCATCCTGTAGTAAAAAAGATGTCTTTAAAAAGGGAATTTGAAATCAACTACAACCACCAAGGTTTTTCTAGGCTACCCCAGTGTGTCTTGTGGCTACCACCAAAACTTATGTTAAAACTGGACTTCTGGTTTCTATGTAATAAATGCGGCTACCTTTGAAGTCCCTCTGACTATGGTTTATGCTTCCCTACTTCTAAAACCATGATCATAAATCATTGTCCAGAGATTTCAACTGGTGAGAACAAATGCAAGGTTTCTAGTATAAGATTATAATGGTTCAGATCTGCTATTCAGTTTACAGAAACTGAACATGTGTTGTACTGTTGCTACAGAAAGGTAATTTAAAAAGGTCTACTTAGCTTTATCCTACTAGGCTGGCTACCTTTAGAAGTATGTTTTAAGTTCACAGCTACAATACCACATATCCTTTGCTTCTCATTAAAATGATAAGATCAGGGCATATCTGTAGTTGACATATTCTAGACAGCTTTTCCAGACAGTTGTTTTGAAGAACAATTTTTAGAAAGGAATTTACCAAATAAATGGGCCAAAAGCTTATTTTCTTTAATAAGAAATAGGTACTTCCTCGAGGTTTGGCTCCATTAAAATTTACAGTAGAATATTTTTATTTGATGCGTGCTGATGGTAAGCAGGATAGCCATAGGATGCAAGTTATGCAGTGCCTTCACATCTACGTTTTATACTGCACTTTTAAAAGCATTTTGAGGAAAGGAAAAGGCATTTGTTTAAATAGACTCTTAAGTTGTATATATTTCTTGCTATTTTAAAAGGTGAATTTGTGAAACAAGTCTTGTTAAATGTTAAACTTTGAAATTTAATACTCCAGATTATTGTAGTATTACCCATCACCCAGTTCATAGGTTTTAAAAATAAAATACTTCTAAAAGTATTTGAAAAGAAAAATCTCATTTTTGTCTCACTGCAGTTAGGAGAAAATGTTAAAACAAGAGTTCAGTGATCAATACAGCAGGAATAAGCTTGTTAGAAATAAACATCTAAACTAAAATCACCATGTAAAGCAATTCACTGGAGTATTTATTCTGATTATGAAAACCACTATGCATTGACGGTCTTTATATGAAGTTTTAAATGGATAACCCATTGTCACAAAAGTTTGAGACATAAAACGATTGCCTTTTACTATTTTAAATGCTACTGCTTTGTAGAATTTAGATATAAAAAAATAAATGAGTAATAACAACTATTTAAATTAAGAATTAAGAAATTAGCATGCAGGGATTTTCCTCCTATTTAGCCTCATTTACAGACATGTTTGAATTACAGCTAAATACCATCCCAAGACCCCTTTTTTATTTTTTGAAATAGGGTCTCTATGTAGTCCTGGGTGTCCTGAACCCACAATGTAGATCAGGCTGGCCTTCAACTCACAAGAGATTCTCCTACCACCACACCCAGAACCATTTCCTATACAAACATCTCTCTCTCTCTCTTCTCACACACACATACACACACTTTCTGTCTGTCCATTTATAACACTGAAGAGCTAGGTGAGTAGGTTGTGAAGGTATCATTTGAGTTAAAGAACCACTCTAGAAACTGAGGAAGCATGCATGCATTTGCTCATTCAAAACCTTGTCTGATCCTTAATTTTCTATTGTTATTTTACCCTATAGTTTTAGGGTCTAGTTTTACTAAGAAAGTCTATGGCAGGTAACGATGCTTGCTGCCAAGCCTGATTACTTGAATACCCAGGATTCACATGGTGAACAAAACTAACTCCCACAAGTTGTTCTCTAACATCCATTTATGCACACACAGAAAATAAACGAAAGGTAATATAAAACTTAAGGAAAAGAAAAGCTATGGCATAGTTTTATATCACAATTCATAGTGATACAGTATGACCCTGCAACACCAAGTATGCATTTATATGACACGGACATCTTTGGAGTGTGGAAAAAGTAGCAATAAGTTTCTACAGTTAAAAATCCTTTACTAATCTTTTTTCTCACATTTAGATTATGATCTTAACAAAGTGCTAATTCAGTTTACATTATCATTAACACTTTGAAACCATGGCCATTTACTGTAAAAGTATTAATAGTAAGTCTGACATTAATAGTTGCCTTCAAGATGGCATGGGCTTGTTTCTTGGCACTCCTCATAACTGCTTAGGAATCACTTCATGTAATTACAGTGTCTTCTTGATTACAGCATGTAGAACACACTGGGCCATAAGGATTTTAAAATGTACCGGCAGCACTCTTTACAGAGCACTTCTTCTCTTCTATGTTCTCAATGCACAGACCCTATCTTATCAGCAGTGTTTAAAGTCCTCAGATGGGACTATTGGAATGCTTCCTTTTATGATGAACTTTTAAGTGTCTGATCAGAACTCTGAGTAGAGACTACAGAAATGAGACTACCTTAATACAGCAACTATAAAAAATGAAACCAAAGCCCTATTTTTAGAAGAACAGGAGAAATAATCAAAACTGTGAAAAGAGAAAACATCAAGACACATTTTAAAAATACTTTCTCCTACATTTCTTGTCACTTTATAACCAGATATTGATAGTCTATCTATGAAAGCTTTTAAGTATACTTATTACAGTATACGAATGAAATTTCTTAGTACATATGTGAATATATACTTTCTAAATATATAAATCTAAGAGGTGTCATTAGGAGCCACTGTTGTCCATCAAAATGCCTTAAGCTATATGCTATCTACGTACTTTTAGACATGAATTTCACTATTTTGATGTTGTGCTTGGTAGATCTTTATAAATGATATCTTTACATTTTCCTATGTAAAACTAAGTTCCATACAGAGGACATGAACCTTTCTGAAATACTTTCTTAACATTATAAAACGGATGTTACATTTCTCAGATGACTCCTACAACAGGTAAATTTTCATAAGAAAATAATTGTGTTAGTTTCTATATTAATGTTGATTTAATTTACTTAAAATTGTCACACACAGTACCTGCACTAGTGGATCCAATTCCTGTGGTCAATACAGACCTTGGTGTAATCTTTGCTGCATATTTGAGGAATTGCGATTTACCTGTGCCAGGATCCCCAACCAATAAAAGATGAGATTCACCTAGGAAAAAAATGTGTAAAGGTTCAGAATTCGTAAAAGACCTATGAACACAATATAGCTAATAAAAAAGGAAGTGGCCCTTATGAAATGCCAACACTTTTTAAATGGCATTTTGATAAATTTTATGCAAGGTTCTTCAGGAAGGCGTTAACAAGAAACTCCTTAGAAAAGTTAGCTGTCTGTCACAAATACAGCAATTTTTAGTTACTGAATGTGACATTGAAATTTTAAAGTCTTTTAATAGAATGTGTGCTTTTTCCAGATGCTGAGGCCCATGTTTAACATTTTTAAAATCCTTGACTTATAACAACTTTCTGCTTTTTTGTCTTATTTTTAAATCCAAACTACTGTGATTAAAGCTGTCTATGTTAAGTCCTACAAGAGTATCTATTTTTAAAAATACTTCTAAATGTTGGGGATTTTATAAGTGCTTTATACATTATCAAATCATTATGATTATATTAACTAAAAACATTTTCATTTATGTAAATTTTCATAGCTTAGTGAAGCATATACCTTAAAATTATTAAGTACTCAATTTTACCATTTAACATAAATGGACAAGCCTAGCCTATGGTAGATACTTATACTGGACAAACAAATTTCTTAAGTATTTTCTAAATATATTAATAAGAAACCATTATTTAAGCTTAACAACATTTAGTAGAGTGCCTTGCAGATAACAGATGATCAAGATATATAATTTATAAAATGTCTGTTTATTTGTTACTGTACTATACGGTCTTAAGAGTTCTGCTAACAACGTGGCTTAGAGCAATGCTCTTTTAGTCTTTGGGTTAACTCTGGTTATCAACAGCCCTGTGTGTGCCGTGCTTGCTGCACAGTTTTCTGCCATCCGTGTTGCACTTGGAGTGGTCTCTGCTTGAATGTGACCTACAGCAGCAACTTCTAGCAGATGCTTATCTGCTTCTACCAGCAGGAGAATCAGCAGGCAGACGACTGAGCAGCAGTCCATAGTCACAGATGGAGACCATCTGGAAGACACTAAGACACCATTTCTGATCTTTCTCACTCTTTTTTGGAGACAAGGGAGCCAATTTTGTAGTACTTTACAGGCTTGTAGTATATAACGACTGAAAATTTCGTGATTCTTTCATCTTTCTGAAACTAGAAAACCTAGCTTCTGATAAATATAGATATAGGCTATATAAAAAAATCCAGATATGAGAAACTACAGTCAGTTTTTAAAATTAATTCTTTAAATTAGCATACAAAGTAATGTACTTCATTTTGGTGTTTTCAAACATGCGTCATTATAACTCACCGCTCCCACCCTCCAACAAGCAGTTATTGTTCAAGAAAGAAAGCGTCTCTCTTCCCCTCTATGTTATTATTTCTCAAAATGTGGCAGGCAGCAGGTACTGACCTCTGACCCTTGTTCCTGCAGCATCAGTTCTTTGAATTCCACCAGCCAGCACCATGGCCACAGCAAGCTTTACTAGATACATCCCAAATACTTGAGGACACAAGCTGGCCAGTATTTCATTCCTCCCTGGGAAGTGAGAAAGATCAGAGTTTTCAACAGTTTTTCCAGAAACTCTCATTGAAATCTCACTATCCTGCGGCCATTTTCTTACAAACATACTCTTTGTGCCGATCTAAAATGACAAAGGACCAAGAAAAATGAGGAAAGAGTGTGAGTAGCTTCACTTAGGCGTTTTTGTTTTGGTTTTGAGGTGGTTCTGCAAAGTAGCCAAAGCTGGTTTCAAATGCAATCTCCCAAGTGTTGAGATTATAGGTATATGGCACCATATCTCACTAACCTTTTTAGATTCTAAATTTAGTGCCATGAAAAAAGTGTCTCTGACTCTCATCCCCTCCACTGCCCTATGCTACCTATTTAAGTTTTTATAAATTTGTCATACTGAATTAAAACAAAGCAGTTTCTTTCTTTTTCAACTTTTAGCTATCAAGCCTTATCCCTTAATATAACGAAGTCATATATCCTCAAAGTATCCCACTACTTAGTTAAAAGGAAATTAGCCAGTCTCAGAAACGAGGCATTATAATAACCAGTACCTTTTTAAAGAGGTAAGCTGGAGCTT